ACACACACACACACATACGAAAAGAAAAAAGGAAAAAAAGAAAAGGGAAAACAAAAACAACGACAACGAAGGAAACAAAACCGGAGAGAGACAGTGGGGTGTGTGTGTGGCATCGCGCCGCATCCCCCCACCGTCGCCCAGACACTAGCCGTCAACTAGTCGTCGTCCTTCTCCTCCCCGCACGTCAAAACACCAGCGGCCCCCCCTCGCGGGGTCAGAAGATGCCGTACTCACTTTCGGCGCAGCAGAGCGTGACTTGCCGCTGCAGCCGCGACGACCGCCGCTGCCCACTGCGACGAAGGGCGCTCACCGGAGCGCGCTGCGGTGTCTCCGCGCTCTTCTCCGCCCCCCCACGCCGTGGAATTGGGCCGTCAGTAATCACGCACGCCGTGTTGGGGTCATCCACGTAGTGCTCGTTGTATAGCGTCATCCACCCCTCCAGCGTCTCCTCCACCGCGGCGCGGGTATCCTCCCATTCAATGTCGATGTTCTCAATGCCGAGCAGCACCAGCGCCTGGTAGTACTTTGCGTGAGCCGTGCGATGGCTGTGCAGCAGCAGCGTAATGCCGATCGTCGGCACCGGTTCGACGGTGGGCAGCAGCACTGTGCGGCGCCGTCCACCACCACCACCGCCACCAGAGCCATCACGCATGACCAGCAATGTCGTGCGTCGCGAAACCACCCTACTCTGTAGCTGGCTACCTCCAGAAGAACCACCAGGCAAATTACCCTGTCCGCTGTTGCCACGCACGTTTAAAAATGACATCGTTCGCCGTGGGACGGTCGGCATCGCCGTGTTAGACTTCTGTGGACGTGGCAGATACGAGTCCTCTGTCACAATCGAATTGTTCTGAACTTCCTCACGGTATGGTGCGGCGCACCCGCCATAATCATCCGGTCGCTTCTGCCGCTGTACCTGTGCGTAGAGGGCAAGGTACTTAACGTAGCGTGTCCAGTCCGGGGTCTGCGCGCGCAGCGCCTCCTCGTGCTGGATGAACTCCGCGTTGATGCTAAAGAACTTCTCGAGCGACCATACGAATCGGTCCATCTGTTGCTCCGTGAAGTGTGCGGTGATTGAAGTTTCAAGCACAGAGCGAAGGTCCTCGGTTGAATTGACGCCTCTGATAAGACCAATATCATTCCCGTTGCACGGTGGAGCAGCAGGGGCGGCTGACATCTCACCTGCAGTTGCCGTACCAACTGTAGAATCATCAAGAGAAACCGCAACAGCTGCAAGTGCAGCAGCATCGGCTGCAGCTTGACTCACCAACTCGTCATTTGGCGCTAGCACACTTACACTGTTCTGCTTAGCGCGACGTTCCCAGAAGTCGTAGCGTAGCCACAAGAGATCCTTCTGCGCGGTGCGCACCATCATATTCCACACGCGCTTGCTTCCCACCACCGCCTCCCTCACCGCATGCGGGCGCACCTTCTGCTCAAGAAAGAACAGTCGGTAGTTGCAGCTAAGCACCTGCCCGCATATGGCCTCGCAATCATTGCGGTAGCGCGTCGGATCCTGCGTCATTTGCGCATAGTGAATCACCATCACGTCTGCAGGCGGTATAATAACGGTGTCGTAGTTTGCCGCCTGCATTGTGAGAAAGAAGATGTAGCGATTAATAACAATCTGAAGAATATCTTCCCGAGCGTCTAGTTTTGAGGGTTTGTTCTTTGTCGTAGACGCAGCAGCAGCAGCACCACCTGCGGTAGAAGGAGTAGGAGAAGACCTACCGCCATTACTCACACTCTTACCCTTGGGGCTGTTGTTCGAAAAAAAGAACGACTGTAGTGGGTTCAGCGTACGAACCGCCTCGGCGTAGCTGTACACAACGTCATCATCCATGGCGATATCCACCTTGTAGTAGCCGTCAAGGAGAAGGTTGATCGCCGTCTGCACGGTGTCCCCGACGAAGAGACCGGGGCGCAGCTTAATGCCGTTGATCTGCTGCACCCTCAGCCCACAGATCTCGAGCGGTACCTTGGTGCGGTACGGGCTCATGTTGCGTACGCCTTTCCACACCTCCCAGTTGATGGTGTGGAGGTTGCGCAGCTTCGCAATGTCGAACCACTCGTTGTGTGCCGTGCGCCGGTTCTCAGCGAAGGGGCAGCCAACAATGTTGAGAACCTGCAGCTTGCTGAACGAGAAGAGCAACATGCTGGGGTCATCGAGGTGTTCATTGTCACTCAAGTCAATATCGATGAGGTTCTTTAGCTTGTGGAAGTACTTGGGCAATGTGCGGAGGTCACAGGCGTGTAGGGATAGTTTCGTCAGTGGAATCGGCTGCGCAACGTACGCGATGCGTCCTGCTCGAGCGCCGTGACCAAGGCTCAAACGCGTGCTGGCATGCGAAGCCGTACTGGCAGCGTCATCGTTCGCGTTTGTATTGATATTGGTGTTATTATTATTGTTGTTTGGAGTGGTGGTGGCGGTAGTGGTAGCACCATTGCATGTCTCAGCCACCGCGTTGCTGCTCCCCGCGCACAGCAGTATGTTGCGTGGTGTGAGTTTGCGCACCAGTCGCCCAGCGAGGACGTCCAGTGTCTCGACGGGGTTCTCCGCGAGGTCGAGGTACGAGAGTTTGTGCAGCGAGACAACCACGTGCGGCACCCCACTGAGGTGCATCCCGCGGAGGTGCAGCTCAGTGAGTGTTGCCGCCAGCTGCTTGCCAAAGAAGTCGTCGTCCTCGAAGTTGAAGAAGTTCGCCGATATGTCGAGCGCTTCCAACGTTGTGATGCCTTTGATGCCGGTGGGGAGCCCGCCCATGATGCCGCAGTTGGCGATGAGCAGCCTGCGTAGCGACGGCAACTTGTCAAAATGCACGCCACCCAGCTGCAAGTGTGGGTTGTCGGACAGGTCGAGCTCCCGCAGCACCGTGCAGTGCAGCACACACGGTGGGAGAGTGCTAAGCGAGCAATCACGCAGTATTAGTTGCGTAAGGTGGGCGATGCGTGGCACAACGTCAAGTGTGCGTGTCTGATGACCTAGTGGGTTCATGCTCGCGTTGAGCACCCGAAGGGATGGCATCTCACCTAGAACCCCTGGCAGCCGCTCAAAGCGGTTGCAGTTGATGTACAGCTCCTCAATGTCTGGCAGCAGTGTCATCTCCCTGCCAAGTGTGTACAGCTTATTGTCGGATAGATGCAGCCGCTTCGCCGTGTGGAGCCTGTCGCGCTTAATGAGCTCCACGAACTTTGGCCCAAAGAAATCCATTGTGCGGGAAGTGAGGTCGACATCACCGTCGCGGCCAACGTGCAGGCCGTTTGCACCAAACACACGATCGACGCCCTTGACGTTGGCCGACTGTTTGCACCCCATCCTACCGTCCCACTACCGCCCTGCCCTCACGCTCTGAATTGCGAGTGTGTGTATTTGTGTGTGTGTGTGTCTGTGTGTGTAAGTGATCTTGTCAAGCAGGTGGCAAGACGTACAGCCACACAGCAACCCCACCAGGCAGCAGCGACTGGCAAACGGTACGATGTGCAAAAAAACAACAACAGTAGTGTGCAGACCACGCCTCTGGTAGTGGGGGCCAGTCGAAAACAAGAGAGGGAAACTATACAGTCAAATATGCACACCGGCACACAATGACTTTCGCGCGCACCCCGACCCACAACGAAAGAAACAAG